TGCATAAAGCTCCTTTCCACAGGTTGCTCTGCCTCCTGGGAAGCTTTCTTTTCTTTTTTGCTCCACCAGCTTCTATTCATCCTTTAAGTCTCTGTTGATTTGTCCCTTCCCCTGGGAAGACTTCCTGGCCCACCACTAGAATAGGTACCCCCATATGTCTTCATAGAACTGATTATAATTGAAATTTTAATATGTGGGTAATTGTTGCTTCAACATTTTTCTTACATAAGCTTCTTGAAGGCAAAGACCTGCTTGTCTGCTGCACTTAGAATGTCATTCATATAGCACGTCTCATTTAGTGTTTGATGAATGAATAAAAAATTGAATAGGGCAGCCCAGTCGCATAGTGGTTAAGTTTGGCACGCTCCACTTCAACAGCCCGGGGTTCACGGGTTCAGATCCAAGCCAGGACCTACAGCACTCATCAAGCCATGCTGTCGCAGGCAACCCCACATACAAAACAGGGGAAGACTGGCACAGATGTTAACTCAGGGCCAATATTCCTCACCAAAACAACAACAACAACAAAGAATAGATGAATAGATGACTGAATGTCTTTGAGAGTTTTATTTGCTCTTTCCTCCACCTTTATAACCTCACAGCTTCTGGTTCTCCCTGGAGTTCAGATGACTACATGGCGCATGCCAGACAAATCTAAGTTGGCTCACACCAACCAAACTGGACCAGAATTGTTCTTCCCCTCTAGGGGAGCTTTGTTGCTGGCCCAGATTGCGTGCCTGAAGCCCACTATCTGTAGTTGGGTGGGTTCTTGCTCAGGAGGCTCTATAGGCCATGATATAATCGGGATCCAGGAGGCCCCACCTCACACATCGGCAAAACTTGCTCAAATGTGGGATCGCACCAGTAGCCGGAGCTCCCACACAGGCTGGGATCTGGGACTCCATTGTTCAGACGGCTGAGCTCTTGAGCCTCCCAGTCCTCTCACCTCCCCACGTGGGATGACTGTAGGAGGATACTCTAAACTGCGAGAAGGAAATCTCCTTATGTTCCTATATAGTGAATTACACTACCTATTTTTTTTTTCCCTTAGTATCAGGACATCTAAGAAGGTTGATTTTAAAAACTTACGTAGTAATCGTTGTTTCTGACAGACTTCTTTGTCACAGACAACAGAACCCACTCTAGTTGGTTTAAACACAAACTACCTAGTTTCAAGGGAATCAGTTCTGAACCTCTAGGAGACCCAAAAAACCAGACTCGGACACCTCACGCCCAGGAACACTGTGGCCACAGCAGTGCCGCCAGGAGAAACATGCGGCCAGACTGTGGGACTGTTCCAGGGGACACCACCACTGCTGCTGTCACCACCAGGACCCTATGATATGAGGAATGGACACAGGTAACTTTCCTCTGCCTCTGGGCTTGCAGGGGGAGAGCCGACCCCCACATGCGGCTGCTGCCTCCTAGTCCTGCCACAATAATTTTGTTTAGTGAAATGTAGGTCATGTGCAGAATCTGAACTACAAGGGAGTCTGAAAAATGTCGTTTTCAACTTTCTAGCTGAGCTAGAAAAGGACTGGAGTGGGTGTCAAATGAGCTCATCTACAGGCGTTTTAAAAATTTCACATTCACCCCTATTGTCTTGGTACATCCTGTTGCCTATCTCACCCTTTGAAATGATGAGTGACTAGTCTGTATTGTTACATTTATATAGAAATAAAAGATAATCACTTTTTTTAAAGATTGGCACCTGAGCTAACATCTGTTGCCAATCTTCTTTTTTTTTTTCCTTCTCCTCAAAGCCCCCCAGTACGTAGTTGTATATTCTAGTTGTAGGTCCCTCTGGTGCTATGTGGGATGCCGCCTCAGCATGGCCTGACGAGCAATGCCTTTTCTGTGCCCAGGATCAGGACCAGCAAAACCCTGGGCCACAGAAGCGGAGCGCACAAACTCAACCACTCGGCCACGGGGCCAGCCCCAAAAGATAATCACTTTTGTTCTTTAAAATATTTTCATGGTAAACACAATGCTGTATTTTAAATAAGTTTATAAGTTTATGCCCCTAATCCTACCACCTTAAGACAATGATTGATTTTGTTTTTTTATATTTGGTCTCCTAGTCTATCTGCAGACATTGATTGTTCAGATTTTTGATCATCGTATATGCGTATTCTATTATTCGACTTTTTTACTTATTTTATGTCAGTGTCGATATGGATTTATGATATTTAATAGCTGTATAACATTCCCTCAGGATACGTTCCATATTAATCATTCTCCAAATGTTAGATATGTGTTGTTTGCAATTTATAAATATTACTGCAATAAATAACTTTGTGCAAATAGCTTCTTTCTCCTTTAATTTATCCTCAGAAGTGGGAGTATTAGGTGGAAAGATATCAATATCTTCATTCCAAAAGTGAAATGCCACTAGTAATGGATAAATGTAATGATGACACCACATGGCCATATTGGGTATAATCACTGAAGATTAAAATGTTCTCATTTAACAAGTATGATATAGTACAATAATAATGCTTGAGCATGCATATCTTTGATTATTAGTGAGATTGCATATTTTTCCATATATTGGTTTACCAATGATCTGTGTTAAAATGATAAAGGAAATAGGAGATGAATAAAAAAAGTCCTCTGGCTGCCTAGGAGCTGCAGGGGGCGCCACTGTTCAGAGACTGCTCTTCCACAACAAACCACCCCAAACCTATTGGCATGAAATAATGCGTATTTTTTTAATCTCTCAACAGTTTCTGTGTATTGGGAATTCCTGAAGGCCTTGGTTTAGTGGTTCTGACTCAAGCTCTCTCATGTGATGTCATCCAGACTGGAGCTGACAAGGGGTGAGAGGTGGTTATGCAGCTGCGACCTGGCCTGGCATCACTCTGTTTAGTTTCAGGGCCTCTGCATGTGATATCTCCTCATGGGTTAGTTTGGGCCTCCTCGCAGCATGGTGGCCTCACGGCAGCCGAACAGTTTATACTGCCCCTGAAGACTTCAGGAGGGAATATTTCAAGAGAACCAGGTAGAAGCTATATGACCCTTTCCCACCTCACAAAGGAAATGCATCACTTACACTGCTTTGTACTAGTTACAAGCAAGTCCCTTCAAGTTTGGCCCAGAAGCAAGGCAAGGGGCACAGACCCCAGTGCTCCATGGGGAGGAGAATCAAGGTCACACTGCAGAAGAACAAACAGGATGGCAGATATTATTGCAGCTATCTTGGGAAATACAATAATACTCTGCCATAATAACAATTCACAAAAGACTAACTTATAAATCACAATGTCAAGTTGTTAATTTATAGTAGGAGATACACCTTTCCAATGACCCAGATACTCAAATCTGACCAAAACCTCTTCTGCCCATTATCAGAATCTGGTATGAAATCGCCATGGGAATGTTGCTGGGTGAGAATAGAATCAGAGCCCAGAGGCTTAGCTAGTCTTTAAGCATATTTCCCTTAAGGTGGGGCCAAGTTTGGTCAATGTTATCCCTTTCTCCAAACAGTGCACATTTCTATTACAGAGTTTGGGTTTCTACTAGACAATGCTGGACAAACACTGCCTGATTGCTTTTCCTTGGTTCTCCTTTTCTAGATTCTGTAGACCAACTTCATTCTGCAACACAACTGCATTACATTTTCTTTGCTTCTGTATCACATCTTCCAGAGACTACATCCTTCTTCTTGACTGGATTTAGATGTCCTATAAGGCATTATATAGGATATTTATCGGCCCGCAAAACTTTCATGAATGGCTGGATCATCCATCCACACAATTCATATTGGCTTCACTTTTAGAGCAAAAGGTCATTTCCAAGTGCCAGGACAAATGTCAGTATAATTTCGTACATCTGTACATAGCTTGTGTATGTCTGTGTTTTCTTGAATAAATTTGAAAGAGCTCCTTATGTGTTAGGCATTAACCATTTGAATATTTGAGGCAAGTACTTCCCCGATGCTGTTATTTTCACTCCCTCGGTAGTTTCTTCCATTATTTCAAAGCTAAAAGAATTATGTATCAGATACAGTTTCAAAATACAACCTAGTTAAGCACCTAATACTTTTGCACTCTGGTTCCACGACTTACTAGTTCTCATCCTTGGGCTGTCACTTAACTCTCTAGGCCTCCTTCTCCTTATCTATAAAATTAGGGTAATACATAAGGGTAATAACGCACTTATTAAGTTTTTGAAGATTCTCAATTCTCATTAAGAGCTAAGGCTCAATGACCAGCACATAAAAAGCGCCCAGTGTATATTACATTTTCATTTCCAGCACCCACATCCTATCTAAATACAATATACAGGGGTTTTTTTGGTTTTTTTTTTTTAAGATTGGCACCTGGACTAACAACTCTTGCCAATTTTTTTTTTCTGCTTTTATCTCCCCAAACCCCCCCTGTATACAGTTGTACATCTTAGTTGCACGGTCCTTCCAGTTGTGGGATGTGGGACGCCGCCTCAACGTGGCCTGATGAGCAGTGCCATGTCAGCGCCCAGGATCCGAACCCTGCGGCCCCGCAGCAGAGCGCGCAAACTTAACCACTCGGCCACGGAGCCGGCCCCCAAAATACACTATTTTAACCATGGATAGCATGCTCTGGAAAATTGGAGAATTTCTATGGAGAGTCTTGCTTTCTTTCCAAACTGGATGAATCCCACCAATAAGTAAGAGTAACTTCTGTGTTTCTAAGCACTGGGGGTACAAAGATGACGTGCACGGATTCCGTCGCCTCGAAGGTGGAGACTGCGAAGGTGGGGCGGGGCGGGGGCCGCAGGCCGGGAGAGTTGTGCCCCGCCCTACCAGCGCGCGGGAAGGGCTCTCCGGCTCCTCCGCGGGCATCCTCAGCCCTCGGCCGCCGCCAGGGGGCGCGCTCCCACCTCCGGCACCGGCTAGCGTGGCGGCGGGGCCGGGCGCTCTGAGCCAGGACTTGGGGCCACGCCGCGGGGAGGCGGCCGGGCGCGCCAGTCGGAAGGGGGGGCCGGGCAGCCTCGGCGGGGACACCGGGCCCTTCCCCGGCGGGAGGCGGGCGGCGGCAGGAGGGGGCGCTGCGGAGCCGGACGGGCGCGGCGCGGAGGAAGTGCCGTCTTCGCCGCCGCCGCCGCGCCGCGGGGCGGCCTCCGGCGCGGGCCACGATGTCGTCCCGGTCGGGGCGCGACGACGCGGGGGCCGGGGGCGCGCGGCGGCCGCGGGAGCCGCCCGAGCAGGAGCTGCAGCGGCGCCGGGAGCAGAAGCGGCGGCGGCACGACGCGCAGCAGCTGCAGCAGCTCAAGCACCTGGAGTCCTTGTGAGTCCCCGCCGCCCCGCCTTCTGCGCGGAGGGGCCCGTGGGCGCGGCACGCGGGGTCCCCGGGGTCCGCAAGGGCCAGGTGGCCGGCTGGCCGTCGGAGACGGCGTGCCCGGTGCCTGCCACTGGCCCTCGGCGCAGAGGGCAGGTCTGTCCGGCGCCCCGGGCGGCGTCGCCGGGAGGAGCTGAGGCCCCGCCCCGAGGCCCGTCCGGGCGCGCGGGGCTGTCCCGGTGCCGGAAGCGCCGCGCTGGAGGGTCGTCCCTCGCCCGCGGGGCTGGGGGTGCCTTGCGCGCTGCGGGGCGCTCCGTCAGGACTGGGGACCGAGTACAGGAGCGCTGCTCCCTGTCCTTATCGGTTTCTCAGTTCAAAGGGCCGCCTATGAACTGCGTAAAATCCCCATTCTTTTCATCTTCTGCTGTTAAGGGAAGAGAAAACCCAGTCCTGTAAGGTTCGTGTGGTGAGAGAGAGAAGAATGAACAATGGGGTGAGGGCTCGTCCCTAAATATTGGAAAGGTGGCTGCCAGGTAAAAGAGAGTGGAGTGCTGAGGATTTTTACCAGGATTAAGGGTGGAAGCTACAAAGAGGCCAATTCTAGCTCAACAGAAGAATTAGGACCAGTCATATATATGTTACTTTTATTTTTATTTTTTTGCTGGGGAAGAGTCTCCCTGAGCTAACATCTGCTGCCAGTCTTCCCCCTTTTTTTTCCCCCTCTCTAAAGCCCCAGTACATAGTTGTATATCCTAGTTGTAAGTCCTTCTAGTTCTATGTGAGCTGCTCCCACTGCATGGCTACTGACAGATGAGTGGTGTGGTTCTGCTTCTGGGTAACTGAAACAGGCCATTAGAGCTGCGAGGGCCAAACCTTAACTTCTAGACCATCAGGGCTGGCTCCAGAATCATATATTCTTGCTTGTCAGCATGGCCTGACATAGGAGGCACTGTGCGCCCTCCCCCGTCCCACCCCCCCCCCCCCCAGCAGAGGGTTCAAGGAGAGGCGGGACAACCAGTAGGAGAAGGGTAGGTTGTGAAGATTAAACATCAGGCAGAAGGTTGGAGTAATGACCTTTCAGGTCTCTTCCAAGATTCTGTGATTCTATAAGTAGTTGTAGAAGTCAAATTTTTCTGTGTTATTTTCTGAGTTAGTGGGTAAATAACTCATTTCTGTTTCAGGCACATCTCATTACCTATGCTAAGACGATCATGTAAAGAAAGGTCCTCAAAGGGTTGCAGTCCTACATAAGTAACCTTCTGGGAGCTTTGACACAAAATGCATGCCTTTTTTGGAGCCGGCCTGCTCTTTTCCCGGTGGCCCTTGAGCTGAATTTCCTCAGGAGGGCAGTGGTTGCAGGATACAGGCTCTGCACTGCTGCCTCCGCGGTCCTGGCCGCTTCAGCACACTCTGTGGTGCTCAGTCTCCTGTGAAGGCAGATGTTCAAAAATCTTTCCCTAGGATAAGCTCAGGCAGGGCTCAGCCCAGCCCAGGTCTCAGTATCTTTAACTGTAGGATGCCGGACAGTTGTTCATACATTTATTTTGTAGCTCACAGAGCACTCACAGAGAGATTATAACCTCCTTTTGCAGATGAGGAAATGCAGGCTCAGCACTTAACTAACCTGATCAAGGACACATCCATCTACAAACTGAAGAGGAACCCAGATGTCTGATTCCCAGACCAGTGAGATTTTTCAGCTTCAGAGATTTAAAATTTTTCTGGGCTCTTGACATACTACTTTGGCTAGTTCAGAGGTTTGTTTGCTTTTAAATCAAAATTTATGTTTCCAGAGTAATACTTCAATATAGTTTAAACATTAAATAGTACTATCCAACTAATTTCAAAAAAATAGTCGTTTGCATCCCTACTCTTCAGTGACCCCCCACACTCTTTGCACCCCCGCCTCCAACTAAGGCTTCAGTGAGGAAACTTTTACTTTTTTCTTCTGGTATTTAACTACTTATTTGTTTTTCTTTTTTTTTTTTTTTTTTGGTGACAAAGTCCCTGAGCTAACATCTGTGCCAATCTTCCTCCATTTTGTATGTGGGACACCACCACAGCATGGCTTGATGAGCAATGTATAGGTCCGCGCCCAGGATCCAAACCTGCAAAACCCAGGCCACCAAAGCAGAGTGCATGCACTTAACCACTAGGCCACTGGGCCAGCCCCTACTTATTTCTAAGTTATATGTTTATACTGCTTTTTTTGATTGAACAATAGACATTACCTATTAACCTCATATCATAGAAGACAGGAGTTTAGTTCTCTTTCCTTACCCTTCTTGTCTCCATCCTTCCAATATAGCTCCAGTATAATTTTTTTAATCAATAGTTCATATTAACATTATTATAACTATGCAGTATTATTCACTTTTGAGCCAAATGGTGTTCTATGATTTCTTTTACTTTCTAGTACAACGCTTGTTTTTCAAGTAGTTAATGAGAGCCTCAGTTTTTTTCATTTGCTTAATTTTCTATTACCTGCTGCTAATTTTATTCCAAAGGCTCTGAAAGATGAGAGTACTTTTTCCACATGTGCCTACATATCAGATAATCTATCAGTTCATTTTTTAACCTAGAATCTTCCTTCTGTTCTCCTCCAGTACACTGTGGATACTTTCTAGACCTGGTATATAACAATCATCCTGGGACTTCCTTCACCACTCTCCTGTTTTGGATCCCATTCCTGGATCCTGTGTCTTCCTCTTTCTGTCTTTACCTCATTTTGCTGATTCGCAGTATGTAACTTCCTATAAAATAGTGTATTGGGGGTAAATTTGTTGAGTACTTACATATCTGAAAATGTTTTTATTCTGCCCTTAAACATGATAGGTAGTTTGGCTAGGTGTGGAAATCTAGGTTAGAAATTATTTTCATTCAGTTTCAAAGGTGGTGTGCCACCATTTTCTAGCTCGCAGTATTGCTGAGAAATCCGATGCCACTTGGATTCACTTTTTTTTTTATGTTACTTATTTTGCCTCATCCCACTTGTGGAAGCTAAAAGAATTCTTTTTTTTTTTTAGGAAGATTAGCCGTGAGCTAACATCTGCTGCCAATCCTCCTCTTTTTGCTGAGGAAGACTGGCCCTGAGCTAACATCCCTGCCCATCTTCCTCTACTTTATATGTGGGACACCTACCACAGTGTGGCTTGCCAAGCAGTGCCATGTCTGCACCTAGGATCCAAACCAGCGAACCCTGGGCCACTGAAACGGAACGTGCCCACTTAACTGCTAGGCCACCGGGCTGGCCCCTAAAAGAATTCTTTATCCCTGGTATTTTACAGTTTCATGATAATGTGAACTTTTCCTCACTGGCTTTTAAAAATTTTTTATTTTCTTGACACTTTATGGGTATTTTAATATTCATACATGATTTTTTAATTTTCTTCCCTCCATTTTGTTTTTTTCTTTCTTTTCAACTTCTGTTGATCCTCTATCTTTTCTTTCCTTTTTTCTATCTTTTTGTCTTTTCATTTCTACTTTCTATAACATTTATCTTCCAGTCCTTCCACCATTGCACTTTTCTAAAATTTCAGTTATCATATTTTTTACTTTCAGGAGCTTTTTCTTGTCCTGAGAATTCTTTTTTTCATAGCATTGTGTTGTGAAGGGGGCTGATGAGAGAGAAAGAAAGAGAGAATGCAGAGGTGCTGGTTTGTTGGCTGTTAAGTCTGTTGACTATAAGTTTCACTGTAGGCATATCAGGCTACCATCTGCCCTTTTCATGGGTAGGCTCCCACAGATCAGAAGGTGGAGTTCTTTTCTGGGGGCTGTTCAGCTTGTCCAAAGAAGAACCTTCCATTCTCAGGCCTGGGTGCCAGTGTTCTGGATTGGGATGAAGAGGGAGGGGGCTTTGGTCCAGAGTTCAGGCTGAGACTTAACTGTTTTCAGCCAGTGCTCACCCTCATCCCTGTCCTGAGCCGTGCTTATATTCCCATGCATCTGGAGCCTTTCCAGTTAAGTTTCACAGGGGATTAAACCTGCCTTCTCTTTGAAGGGTAAGGGCGGAGAGAGTCTTCTGGCTATGGAGATGGAGAATATTGGTGGTTTTAACCACTCAGTGTTCATACTCCCAACCCCTAGCTTCTAAAGGTTGTAGCTTTCTCCACCTAAAGAAGTCAGTTACTTTGTTCCACTTTCCGTTGTCTTCCTAGCCTTGTCTTGAAATTGTTCTCTGCTAGTATCTCTTCTTAGAATTTCTTTGTGGCTTCTTACCTTTTTGATTCCTTTATGGTCATTTTAAGAGAGTTTGGGAAAGGAAGGCAGATAAGTAAGTTGGTCAGCCAGCCACATTAGATGGGAAGCCCTGTAGTGGTTTTTTACAAGTTGAATTCAAATCTTTTTACCTGGTAGAATGCCCTCTTGAGGTCCCCTCATACTCCTCTGGTCATTTTCTTACACTTGACCTTAACTTTTCTTGCTCTTTGACCATATCTGCGAGGCCCATGAAGGCATCTGAGTCTCCCACTCATGCTCCAATCCATGTTCCAGCTCTATCATTCAAGTGCCCCTGGGCTGCCAGGCATACAGAATGGACATTCTGTGTCTATGTGGCAGTTTTGTCTCTGCCTTTCAGCCCCAGAGGAGCCGGCTGCAGGAACAATTGTGTGGAATAGAGTATGCTTACATGAAGGACCTTTCTAAAAGAAATCCCACCCCAGTGCTCAAAACCACAAAGAGTAATTAGAAATATTTGGCAAAATAAAGATTTCTTCCCCCGTACCCACTTGGGAAGATGTTTTTCCTCTCTTATCTCAATTTAGTCTTCATACTCTCAGAGCAACTTATTACAATCTGCATGATAGAATAGCAAGGCTTCACAGATGGTACAAAATAATGGGCCTCCATCAACTTTTGTTTTTTAATTCTAAGGATTAACTACAAAGATGATGCACACTTCTCATCTGTCTCAGTGCAGAAGCCAACTACACAATAAACACATTCCCATTTCTAAATCTGTTATTTTTTTAATAGTTAAATATTACTTTAATCTTTGAGATATCTCT